TAAAGGTATTTTTTTTTAGTTCGGGCTTTCTTTTTTTTGTTATGCTATTCTTTTTTAATTTCTCGTGTGTGTGTGTGTGTGTGTGTGTGTGTGTATGTTGGTCTTTCCTCTGAACTTGTGTTATTTCAATTAAATTTTCTTTTCTTTTCTTTCTTTCTTTCTTTCTTTTTAAATTGTCTTTTTTACTACTTTTTTATCTTTTCATTTCTCTTTTTCTTTTTTAAATTATTTTCTACTACTTTTTCATTTTTCTTTCTTTCTTTCTTTCTTTCTTTTTCTTTCTTTCTTTCTTCCCTTTTAAATTGTTATTTTACCACTTTTATCTTTTCCCTTCTTCTTTCTCTTTTTCTTTCTTTTAAATTATTTTCTACTACTTTTTCATCTTTCTTTCTTTCTTTCTTTCTCGTAAACTATTCTCGTTTCTTTCATTCGTTTTCCTTTTCATTCCCATATTTTCTTTCCTTCTTACCGTTTTAATTTTTGCCCATTTTTCTTCCCTTCATCTCCCATCTTTCTCCTTTCCTCTCTACTCACCTCTTCCCGTCTGGCTATTCCTCGCGTCCATCATTCCTCTAACTCCTCTAACCCAAGACCCCACAATCAAAAACGCAACCAGTCATCGCAGCTACCAACACATGCAACAGATCAATCAATAACTTGCCATTCTCAATTGCACACAACGAGTAAAACCTCCAACAACGAAATTTACAAGCAACGACTAAAACACACACACGCACTCTCGCACACACACACACACACACACGCACACCAACACACATATATTAAGCAGGTCCGTCAACCAATTGTTAGTTAATATCAGCCGGGATTGTCTCGGCCCGGTCGTTACTATTAGCTACTTAATCCACTAAAACGAATAAAATCATTAAAAAAAAAATCGCCTGTTCTTTATTCACCTCTGTTCCTTTTTTTTTTTTTTTTAAAAAAAAGATTTTATTCTAGTAGTATCTACACCCTTGTACGCCATACCGAGGACTGCGGACGGGTGTGAGGCAAAGGAGACCGGAATCTGTTACGTCGAGAATGGAGAGGCAGGCGATTTGGTTTTCCAGTCAGTCTGTCTGTTTGTCAGTCCGTCAGACAATCATGGTTGTTTCATTTTACTTGAATCGTGCGGGGTGATGCGAAGATATGTTATATCTTGATTATCGACCGCTACATTCGATCGAAGGTTCCCTCCCCCCACTCTCTCTTTCTCTTCCTTACGCACACATACAAACACGCACACATACACATCAACACGCATATAGGAAGGTTAGTGCATGGATATAAAAGGGAGGAATATTTTATGTAAATTGTGATTTTTTTAAAAAAAGTGACGTCACAGACTTGCAAAATGTATTTTTTTCTTTTATTTTCTAGATCTGTTCTTTCTTTTTTTCCTTTTTTCCAGACAAAAAGGTTTTATCTAACATAAGAACACACACGAGAAAAGATTGTATCGAGCCAATCTTAAGTGGGCATTGCTTCGCTTAAAATTCATAAAAACAATACTACTTATCAATCACAAGAGATACAATTACATTTACGCTTCTGGACCCGTGTATATATATATATATATATATATATATATATATATATATATATATATATATATATATATATATATATATATATATATATATATATATATTTAGTAGTATAAACATTATTTTTTTTATTCGGTACACATGTTTCAGTTGCTATCCGTGTTTTTATTTTATTTATTAGACCTGTCCGGCTGGGTTCGTGGTCGAGCTGATAGAGGTACACTGAGAAAAAGGGATTCAGGTTCGGTTTCTGTCGAGGCTCTATATTTTCTTTTTACGATGATTTCTTAATTTAGTTATTAATTCCACTGCTTAATAAAATGAAATAAAACGGGATAGTAACTCCTTTCGTGTATATATATATATATATATATATATATATATATATATAATGTCATCCATCCACAGACAGACTGTTTCGCAGCTCATCAGTGTGGCTGAGACATCCAGGTGAGAATCGAAAATGGTAAATTGCATCTTTGTAGTGAGTAAAATGGTTTTTGTCTATATGATAAAATTATAATAAATAAATAAATAATTATCGTTCTACTATCGGTATCGGGACCTCTTTTGAATTAATGCTGTGAACGTTGGAATTTATATGCTACTTTCGTTCTCATCGCATCGGATATATATATATATATATATATATATATATATATATATATATATGCAAGATAAGGCGCTTTGATTAAGTTTTTTATATAATTTCTCATGTGATCTTATAAATTTTTCTTTTCAGTCGATAAATTTATGCATCATCTACATGTGAAAAAGGCTAAAAATAATTGAAGCCTTATCAATAAAAACAGAAAAACAACACTGAACAATATCAACTATGAACATGGACCCAATATGTTGACCGTGTTTTGAAAATGAAACATTATGTAAATACATACAGCAATCTATTTCGAGTTAACAGTTAACATATTTCATCCTTGAATATGGCTAAATGTATAGCCGAAAGCGCTCGGAAAAAATCTAATATTTGGACAGTTTTTTTATAATTTAAGATCACATGAAAATATAAAAAAAACTTAATCAACGCACCTTGTCTGTGATATTTAGTGAAACTTGCATGAAAGAAGGTTTGTTGCCTAAATACACAATATATATATATATATATATATATATATATATATATATATATATATATATGCGCCCTTGTTTAGGATTGTATTTCAGACCACATTTTGCCATAATCAAAATTCACCCTTTTTTGTTCAGTTAATTTTGAATTTAGCGTAGGTCTGACACCTAATTGTTTAATCAGGGTAAACCCACAAGCCTCATTTTAATTTTGATTATTCTCTTCTTTTTCGAAAAAAAAGGGCGGATATATTGCTTATGAAATTTATAAATAATTATTTACTCATCAGTTATTCATTGTCTGAAGAAGCACAACTGTAGTGCTGAAACATGAAAGTTATTGTGTAGCGATTTTGTTTTAATCTCATATAGTAAATAATATTAAACTCTACTCTGTATTGAACCCCTTTAAAAAATTAAATGCTGCAGACAGTGGAATTATGCTCCATTTGTTCTTATCTTATCCTATATATTTTTTTTCTTTTCTTCTTTTTTCCCCATATCATTTCCGTTGAGTTGACCAATTAAATACGTCAATGTCTGATTCTTATCCCCTCCTTCCTCAATATTATGTACTGTAATAAAATAAAAATAAATTTTAAAACGCTCCCTTCCCTCTCTAAGCTCTACCATGTCTCTCACACTATTCCCCACCACCCTCAATGTTCACCTTATATAAGCTCAATACTGTCCTTCAAAAGTGTAAATTTTAAATTCATTTTTTCAACTTTGAAAGTGAAGTCTGAAGATTCAGAGAAAAATAAAATCTCTGGTGAAATAAATTATAACTAAAGGAACCTTAAAGTGGTTTGTTTTTTCTTTAAATTAAATTATTTATACACGCACATCGTTATCATATATCATTTTATATCCAAGGATGTGTTTAGCAGTAATATATATCATAAATATCGCAAAGTCGAACACTTTTGATCTCGGAGACCGAGACTATCCCACTACTCTTTCTGAGGTCAAAAAATCTTTGTACTTCCCAATAAAATTAATACTGGAATCCATTTGGCTCTAAATTACTTCATTTAGCTAATAATGGCAGACCATGTACTTTGATGACCTTTAGTTACAGGTGGATGTCATGTGAGTTTTCATGCCAATATAACAAGCTCAATATCTCACACTGCTTTGCTAGAAATTGCTTTATTTAGCATGCTATGCTCTTTAGCAACCTCTGGTGAACTCAACTTCCAACATCAATCTCACATAATGTATAACATAAATGGATATCTAATGAATTTTCATGCCAAATATTAAGTTACTTGGTCTTATCGTTTGAGTACGATCGTGGCACGAACACAAAAAGAGACGCCTGTATAATTAGAAATATATATATATTTTTTTTACTGAAGATTTAAAATTGTAAATACGTATATATATAATAGTATATTTATATTTTAATTTTAGATGCATAAACACTGCCATAAGTCTTAAGAAAGTTATAAAGTCAATAAAAAGATAAGATATTGTAAAATTATTGAATAAGAAGACAGATTATAAAAGGAAATTTAGGGAGGACACCATTGTTTCTCGTTTAATACTATTTAGAGCTTCCTTGGGCCGCGACACTTGTCAGCATCGAAAAATATTGATTTGTTATTGATTTAGAAAGGGATCCTGTTTATAATTTTGATACAGAGTCAAATCGCTTCCTGACTTTTGTAATTTGTCTTAGCGTTTTTGCGAACGAAAAAGGACTTTTCTTTAGGTGGGGTTACAAAAAAGTTTCTCTTAAATAACGAGCAAACAGATATATACATCTTTACATGAAGACCAAAAATTTACATAAATTACTAAAATTATTTATCCATCTATTCTTAATTTAAAATAAATATTTATTTAAATAACTTCACTTCCAAGAAAGGCGATGATGCCACTAAGACGCAAGTGATTACTGAGAATGAAAGAGAATGAGAAAAGTTTAGAAAGAAACAGAGACTAAATCCTAAGCAGGAAACAAGGGATAAACCTCTCTGCCTGTTCAAAAGATTGTGGAGGAGGGTGAATCAAGATGTAGCTCAAGTGTTTGTACATGGACTTCCGAAAAAATTCCATGTTGTCTTAAAAAGGACAGTTTTGTAGTCGCCGAAGAGCGTTGTCCCGAAAAGGACTGTTTATCGCATATCATTTCTGCTGGCAAGGATGGCTGACTGGAACTGGAGGCCTGCTGGAAATGGCTGGCTGGAGCGGCGGTCGATGGAGAGCTGGAGGTGCAGCTGATGATAGCGCTCGTTAGCTTGAGCGGTGGCCGATGGCAAGGTGAAGCTGCGTTGCAGATTTTCAAAAGTGACTTTTGAAAATAACAGCGAAGTGACTTATCAGAAGGCTAATAACTCTGTAAAGGTCAAGGATTGATACAATAAACCAACACTCCCCTCGTAAATTGATAACAAATCAATATTTTTCGATTCTGACAATGCCACGTCATAAGGAGCTTCTAAGGAACGCAAATCTAATCTACAAAACTTATTTCTCTCCTAAATTTTTCCTTATTTTTTATGAGTGGACCAATCTATTTAAATAGTACCATCTGACGCCTTGAAGTAACTTGCTAGACGAGAAGCCAAAAATAGAAGCAAACAATTCGGTGGAGATTGTATAAGACAAAAAGAAAAAAAACGATGACGTAATTCCAAAGTGATGATTGCCCAACAGACACTTAAAAACAGAAACTGAATTTTTACTAACAGCCCAACACAAATGTATTAGAATAAAAAGTCATGCGAGACAAAACATAAGAGACTAGTTAGAATGTTCACTGTAAGGGAAGAAGAGTATAGCTGTCAATAAAGGAACAAAGTAGACAAGGCTGGGCGGGAACGAGAATGCACTGGGAATTATTCAAGCGTCTGGAATTGGCCGATGTAAACCAAAAGGCGTGAAGAAGATCTGTTCTAGAGAATGAAAAAGTAACAATTAGTGAGATATTAATTTTTAAACAGATAACCCACTCTAGACTAAGGTACCAGGTTTAGTAAACATTTGTCATGATCTGGATGTCACTGCCCCAACAGATTTTCTAAAATTCACCCAATACAAGACTCGAGCAACCGAAAGTAGAGGGTGACTTTCAAAATGATTATAAGGAATTTAGTTCTCACAGAATTAAAATGGTTGTGCAATTACTGAAAAAAGATCGTAAAAATTGGAAATCCGAAGACGGTTAGAAACCATCGATTGATGAGTTTTCTACTAAATTCTTTGCAGTTTATTTAAAAGCAGAAACTATTTTAAGATGATAATACATTTTTTGAAAGAATAATAGTTTAGTGATGCAAGTTTTACTAATTAACCCATAGTTGGGGGAAGAAGAGGTAGATTCATACTTTCTCAAGGATATTTGTGCGCACCTGAATATTACGAACCCAATGGGAATTGAAAATCGACTCTGAGCCATTATCCATAACACCACTCACATATCCAAACATACAGCACCTAGTATTCCCAAGCGGTCACCCATCTAAGTACATACTAGGCTCGACTTTGCTTAACTTCAGTGATCGTACGAGAACAGGTGCTTCAACGTGATGTGGCCGTAAAACAACCATAGAAAAAATATCATTACTTAAATCAACACGAATACCGATAAGATTTTCGGAGCATAGAAGTAATTTGCTGTGAAGATGACGAGGAACAAAGCGTAGCAGCAGTACTTACAGCCAGTATCAGTAGTTCCATCCTGCCAGTCTTCATCATCAGCTGCAGCATCACCTCGCCATCAGCCATTGCTCAAGCCAGCGAGCTATTTCCATCGAGCGCCGCTCTAGCCAGCCATCTCCAGCAGGCCTCCACCTCCAGTGAGACATCCTCGCCAGCAGCAACGATACGTGATAAACTGTCCTTTTTAGGCCAACGCTCTTCAGCGACTACAAAACTGTCATTTTCAGGACAACCGCTCTTCACCGCCTATAAAACTGTGCTTTTGAGGACAACGATCTTTCGCGACTACAAAACTGTCCTTTTCAGGCCAACGCTATTCTCACATGAACATGCAGAGATATTTTGCCGATTACACTCTAACAAAATTAAACTTGGCAATATATTGTTTTACTGAAGTTTTCGTTTTATTTGTTGTTTTCTTCCGTCATTCAATATCTTTACGGGCCAATATACCAAACGCAACAATTCTCCACAATTTTTTTTTATCATTATTTGTTCTTGGTATTTTTTTTTTATTCTTTACTATTTCTCTTTGTTCTTGTTCTGTCATTCATCCACTCAAAAAGGCCCAAGTACCACTCAAGGTAGAAGGTTACTGGTGATTTTAAAGAGCGTATGGTGTGGGAGAGATCAGGGTTTTGCATATTATGAGGATATATAGGATAGATAATTTTTGACCCTCGACTTGAAGTGGTTAAAAGATTGTCACAATCGGGGAAGCATCCTCTTTGAGGTCCCTTCATATTAAAACACTTCTGACGAAGAAGCTGTTTTCAGTGGAATTTCTTCCTTACCAATGGAATATGAAGGAAATGAAAGATGAAACAAGGAATCTTGTTCCTGAGCAAATGCCATGAAAATAGCAATAGTGTAGAGAGCCTAAGACGTTTCATCTGTGGGAAAGGGGTTCGAAGATGGAAAACAATTCATCACCCACAAGGCCGTGCAAGTGCTTTTGAAATCGGCCAAGGCTGGAAATTGAGGATTAAGCAACTCCGGCCCAGATGTTTCTTTTACCTTTAATATATCTTGTCGGTGTTATATTCTCTGGGCTATCTTTCCTCAATATTTCAACGTTTTTTTATGATTGCCCATTTAAAGCTACCTTGTAATTCCTGTTTTCTTAACACAGTTGGTGTTCTGTCCATGGTGTTCTTATCATTCGTTGGTAGAAGCACATCTCAGTCGCTTCAAGTCTCATCTTCATCTGTAAAGAGAGTGTCTCATCTTCATCTGTAAAGAGAGTGACTCATCTTCATCTGTGAAGAGATTGACTCATCTTCATCTGTAAAGAGAGTGTCTCATCTTCATCTGTGAAGAGATTAAATCATCTTCATCTGTAAAGAGAGTGTCTCATCTTCATCTGTGAAGAGATTGACTCATCTTCATCTGTAAAGAGAGTGTCTCATCTTCATCTGTAAAGGGAGTATCTCCATCTGTAAAGAGATTGTCCAACATTCACCGTAGTATAGAAGATTTTATAGTAATTCCGTATTATTTTCTTACTTCACATTTACGAAGTTTTAGCTAAACATGAAAAGGTACCCCGTTCTTTTGCAAGAAAGAATTGCTTGACCAGAAACTTAGTAAATAAAAGACATCTTTAGTCCTTTTTTAAAATGTCAGGCCAAATATAATTTCTTCAACTTGATAAAATTAAATTCAAGAATTAAATACTGGTCTTACGATATTAAATTTTGTCTAAAGCTTCATGCAATCACGCACATATGCTAGGCCACAAAAATCACCTGAGCCTACTAAGCATAGAAATAAATACAATATGGGAACCAGTAATAAGGAGTGCCAGAGAAAAGCAATGATAACAACAAAAAGTTGCAATATGAGCTCTGGTAAAAAACAACAATGATAACAGCATAAAAAATTGCAATATAGTACTGGTAAAAATGGTTGCTGAAGACATTGTTTTTATAATATCCAGAAAATTTGATAACCAGATGTCCTCAAGGACACATGGCACAGTGGATAAAGGCGTTGGTTAGATGATCCAGGACCCAAAGAGTGTGAGTTCAATACCCGGTTAAGGCAGTGGAGAAATTAACAGGAGATAACTGATAGCTGACATCCATCAAACATGGCACGTGGAACTAAAACAGTCTACCCCAGTGAGCGAAATAAAGGGTTTAGTTCGACATTTCAACCACCTGAAGAAGGCCGGAGCGTACAACGGCGGAAACCTTGTGATGAATATGGTGACAAAGATGAGGACAATAGTCCGAATAATGTATTGCTAGTAATAATTTTTTTTCTTCAAAAAACTTATTGCTATTGATTTTTTACCAAGTATTTCTGGTAGTAAAACTTATTTCTAGACTTTCATAGTTTGGGGGTTAACTATTTACCCATAGCTGGGACTCTAACAGGTGCTACCACCCTGAGTCAGGGTGGACCTGGGAACACCAGCAATTAAGAGGTGGTTCTTTCACGCTCCTCAAAACCTCCTGATCAGAGGCTTTGCTGGTGGACGTAGTCTTACCCAGGACGCGGATGTAGTTTAACGTCATACCCCGGACGGAGTTTCCTTTCTGCGTCTACCATCAACAGTGAGTCACCCGCGTATGTTTGCCAATAATAAATACTGGTAGGTCTTTTACGATCGTCTCACTGTATAGATTAGATAAATCCGGTGACAATCCCAATCTCATAATTCTTTCTAGTTTTATTTAACCACTCAAATTGTTTTTTTATCCATATGCAAGATATTATACTGCAAGACAGTAGACATTATTGTTATAAAACCCCATTATTATTATTATTATTATTATTCTCATCAGATTATTATTATTATTCTCATCAGATGGGTGGCATTCTGTCCCCTCCTGTCCATCTAGCCCTCGATATGCCCCATGTGTGTTAAATTCTCTAAGCCCGCCCTTTTCCCTCATTATGTGTCCTAGAAACTGTAGATGTCTCTTTCAGATTCTGGGTTTAAATATTTTTCTTTTTGCTGCCATTTTGTTTAAGACTTCCTTGTTGCTTACTCGCACCGTCCCTGGAATTCTCAGCATCCTTCTGTTCCCCCCAGAGAAGTAACCCCTGCCACCGAAGTCATTACTCTATCAACATTTCTTTTTCACACTTTTTTCGTTTCAATATTCTCTTATTCACACACGTACACACCTACACAAGACAAGACAATGCACAATCTTTGAGTACGCGTCCCCATTCAGTACGTGCGCTATTAGAAAACAATTATTAAAAGAAATTCTGCAACTGTGGGACTCAGGTGACATAGTCGAGAATCAGAAGTTTATTGCAAAAAAAACAAAAAAACAAAAACAAAAAACAAAAAAGAAACATGTTACGGGTTATCCGGGGTATGCACAATGTTAGTGCATTGTGTGCTGAAAATATGAAAATTTTGACCAATAACGAAATATGAAATAAGGAAAAAAAAAAAACAGATTACACTCATACACATTGTAATAACCCCCAAAAAAAAAAACTTACCTTTCCATTGCAAATAACACAACATAAATCAAATTAACCTTGTGGGAAAGAAATATTCTTTCAAAGAAAAAAAATACTACTCAGGTGGAAGTAAAATTTGTTATGAAAAACGGTGATGTGAGAAACAAATCGTGATTCTTCGACATTCTTCATTTACTTAAAAAAGGGTAAATTTTCGAAAAGTTCCAAAGATAGAAAATTGAATAGTAAGAGAAACAATGCCTCACTTTAAAAAGAGCTTTCGCATATCGCTGTTGTATTTGGATGAAGAGTATCTTTGGCCTTAATATTTAATAGCTACATGAGACACTGTGAATGAATTGCCTCTGAAATTAATGTTAATAATTTGGATTTGAATTCAGAATTGTTCAGTCCTCCCGCAGGATGGGAAATTTAGGCAGGGAGCGACAATCTGATCTGAAGGTAGAAATTTTTGAATCCATCTCGTAAATTTGTCAATTCCTTAAGTAGGCATCGCAGAGTCCTTATGACGACACCTTTAATGAAAGTGGTTGGTGGTGATTTCATATTTAACCCGGATATTCCCAGAACGTCGGAGGTGTTGATTGGTTAAGAGAGTCACAATATTGTTAACCCTCAAGCAACCAGCATGAGTCACATAGGTATACCACCGAAAACATCGAAGGAGTCAAGCGACTGCTATTTGATAGGCCAAGAAAATTGTGATGTCAGCAAAATTTCTTTAATTGGAGTTATGAATTACATTTTCAAAACCTAGAAATTCCACCAAAGTAATACAATTTGAAATCAATAAAACACATTTTTTTTATAGTGTACAAAAGCTTTTACTCAATTCCATATTAAAACACTTTATTGGTTATTTTAATAACTTGGGGTCACTTTTTTTATCGGAGGATTGAAGGTGTTGTTTCTCGTTTTAGGAACAACTCACAAATCTTTGATTGCTACAATTACATTGGCACTCCTAGAAAAAATTAGGTTATTTCAGATGTTATATTAGCTGGTGTCTTTTACGCATGGTTACTTTATATTTTTAATTGTAAGTTTTTTATATTTTTATTTAGTATTTTTGATTAAGTGACTTATTGAATTTCAATGTCAATGAAATAAGTCTTGCCTCATTTACATCGCATTGGCTTGTATGTAGCGACGTACTAAGCTTAGCTTAGATGTGGCATAGGTTTGAATTTATGGAGCTCCTAGTGAGGAACCAACTCACTACTCGATCGTTATTGATCTATTGAGACAAGGTTATTAATCATTACACCAAGTTGAATTGTTCCAGGCTTGTATTTATAGTCCTTTTAACACCGAGGAAGTCATAAATTTCTTAAGGGCATTAGCACGTAAGTGCATGTAATGAACTCGACTGGAATTCGAACTCATCTCTCCGATTTCTCAATCCGAGACGAAGTCCACTACTCTACA